TCATTTATCTTTGTTATAAGGAGGCCGGGTCAAACCGTGTTACTCAGAATTGGCCCATCTACGGGTCTGGTTAGGCTCAGTCTTGGTGGTCAAGTTCCCAAGTTTGAAAAAATTCACCAAAAAGTATTAAATTTTTTTAACAATAAGATGTTTTTATATTTTTATCAGATTAGAAAGTCATTTGACCATGAATACTTATTTTTCAATTTCTCCTCTTTATTATTCCCATTTGGCTTTATCATTCAATTTCACCTCTTTACCGCTTCCATTACGTGCGGTGTTCCTCTCTCTGTCTCTAAAGTCAATCGAACATCTGCAAATTCCCGCCACACAGTACTGAGAAATATACTCCGCCTTCTTCTCTCCGCATCATTCCCTGCTACTTAAACGGTATCTCTTTCTATGTAAACGAAGCAGAGAGAGCTTGGCCCCTTGTTCCTTTATACATAAGGAGGAAATGGTACGAGTTGCTTTTTTATGAAATTTTTTATGTTTGTGAGTTTTTATGGCTTGAACTCCTTGTAATCAGAACCTAAAAAATGATTGCTCATAGTGTTGTTAGAAACCCTAAATTTTCATGGCTTCTACCAGAGACCATACCATCTCTGTTAATATTGTGCAACTTTTCTTTGACATGGTCCATGAAGAAAGATCCAGCCCTAGAATCCGCCCTATCTCGAAATCGTCTATGGATAGTGAACAACCAGCTCAAGAATATCATCCTAAGATGCCCTAACCAGGCTACACTAGTTTGGTTCCTTCAAAAGAAGTTCAAAACCCTAGATCTTAAGGGGAAAGCCCCAAACTGGATAAAGAAATACCTGTGTTGTTTTGAGACCTTAATGTAGGAGAATGAGCTATGGTGTAGATTAACAAAGAGGATGATGGCCCTTGTAGAAGAAGAAGAAATATTTAAATCAACAGGAACCGGTTCTTGTGGAGAGACTTGCAAAGTTTCTGATGCTTTCAAAAGATCGAAGGATCAATGCCATGAAATTCAACGAATTGCGAAATTTCGGGTTTCCAGATGACTATTTCATCAGTATCATACCAAAATACCTTGAGCTCTTCAGAGTCATCAACTTCAGTGGTAAAAGGAATGGGTTAGAGATTGAGCGTTTGTCATGGGACCCTAATTTGGCTCTCTCTTTTTGGAGAGAAAAGCTCAAGAGGAGGGTAAAGAATCACCAAGTTTCCAGTGTTTATTACCTTTAACCTGGAAGAAATCATGGGAAATATTCATAGAATTCAATGAATCACCTTATATATCACCTTATGCTGAGCTCCCAAATGAAAATTTCAAGGAGAAGAGGGATGTGGGGTTGATACATGAGATTCTGTCGTTAACACTGTGGAAGAAGGCTTCACTTGTGAAATTAGGTCATTTTAAGAGAGAATTCATATTACCAGATAGGTTAGATATTATGCTAATCAAACACCCTGGAATTTTATATGTATCAAACAGGTATCAGATACATACAGTTGTTCTAAGAGAAGGTTATTCTGGTTCAGAGCTTATTGATAAAGATCCACTGGTTATCGTTAAAGATAAATTTGGGGAATTGATGCAAGAGGGCCTTCATGAGTATAACAGGCGAAGATGTGCTTTGAATTTGGAGAAAAAGAAGCAGAATTTGATCCCGAGATGATTGTCTCATGGAGACTGTTGTAGGTTTGGTAAAGGAAAGAGTCGAACAGAGTGTTTATGAGATAATTTGAAGGGGGTATTTGTCAAATCCGTTGGAGAGAGGTATGTAACATGGCACCTTTTTTTCTTTTTTCCCCATTAACTATGATTATTGGATATTTTTGGTGGGAAGATAGTCATGTTTTCATGGTAGTGTTGAATTCAATTAAAGCATGTTAATCTGCTCAAATGCCTACTCTAAGTAGATGAATTGGGGTTTTAGATTTTTGTACAATTTAAAATGGAAAACTGAAAAGTCTAAAATTTAATTTTGGTGGTTATGATTGTTTTCACTCAATTTTGCACCATTTAGGAAAATTAAAACAAACATCTGAGAAATAACAATAATAAGCGAAAGATAGCAAAGTAGAAAATGAAGATGAAACAAGTGGTACCTATTAGAAAAAGAAAAACAAGTGGTTTCCCACATGGTATTGTTCATGACAGGTGGAAACTTAGAGATACTTCTAGGTTTATTAATCTCTTGGCTGGAATGAGTAAGAGAAGGCCCCATTAAAGTTTTCCTCTCATATTTTTTCTGTGAATTTTGGGTATCTACACATGGAAAGCCCGTTTTATGTCTACTAGTCAATGCTCCCACTACATGAATTCAAAGAATAATAGATAATCGCTAATTTCTTAACTCGAGATCTGGACCTGTCCATCAACAGTCAGAAAAAAAAAGCATGTAACCTTTAAAGCGAAGAATGCTGGGAATATAATATTGCTTCTTCATGGGAAATTGACTTTGGAACCAGCTGTCCAATGTCACGAGTTACATCGGTATTTTATTTTATTTGAAGTTGTTAACTGTTCTATTGAGTAGGGAAGAAATAGAAAGTCGTAAAAAAATAGGATTCCCACATGTCGGGAGCTCTATACCTAGCTTCTCGAAGAATGGGACCTCTATACAAAAATCATAAAGGCTTTCCATAGATGGGTGGCCCTATAAAAAATCACTGAGAGGGTGAGTAGCTAAGAGCTAGGTACAAAAAAGATTATCCCACAGGGTTAGATGATGCAAGAATTAGAGGATAGAGGATGCGAAAAAGGTGATGATATACTGTTGTCGGCTCCATTCTTAGCGAGAGTGTTGGCTTCGCACCAAATATGCCTCCATGAGATGTCCATATACCTATATATATGAGCAATTTGATCAAATATGAGCGAGTGTCCATGGCATGGGGAAGAACCTGAGGCCAACAGATAACATTCTTTGAATCTTCCTCAACTATTAAAGAAGGCTCCACTGGGGATTGAACATTTGAAGGCCCTCAAGAAGAGCAAGGGCCTGTGCTGATTGGTAATCAGAGTGGCCAATGTGTTTAGAGAAGGAGGCTAGGGTATGGTCCGTATGGTCTCTAAATAAGCCACCTATGTCTGCAGGGTTAGGGTTGCCAAGAGAGCAATTGTAAAAGTTGACTTTGGTCTATCCTGGATAAGGTCTCCTCCAGGAGGCATGGGTAATGCAGGTCTGCCTTGAGAAGAGAATTGCTTGCAAATCCTTGATGAAGGTGGAGTGTGGGAAGCCCTTGGTTGGTTGCCTAAAAGATAACCAGGGAACTAATTTTTTCGAACATGGCTGCCATTGAGGACCTCTCACCATGGAATATCCTTTTGTTTCTCTCAATCCAGGTGCCCCAGAGAGTTGCCGATGTTGATGCTTTCCACAAGAGAATCCCAGATTTGGGCCAGGGGGGAAAGAGTGAAGGGACCTGAAAAGCAGTGGGATCAACTGAGGTGCAACCCATTGCCAATTGAACAGTTGGAGGAGAGCAACCCAAAGGTCCCGAGTTAAGGGGCAGTGGATGAAGAGGTGGACCTTGCATTCTGCATCAGCCGCGCACATCACACATCTATTAGGTACTGGAAGGCCCCTCCTTTGAAGCTGGATGACTGTGGGGGCTCTTTCTGATGGAGCTATCCAATTGTGTACTTCGGTTCTATGGGGTGCAATGGAAGACCATGCCTGGTCAATGTGGGGAGACGGGAAGGTAGGTGGTGATAAAAGCTTGCGATAGAAGGAAGAGACTGAAAAAATTCCTGAAGTAGAGGGGCACCACCGCACCAGATGATTTGGTCCTTGCCTTGAGGGGCAAGGAAGGTGGAATGGAGTAAGGAGGATACGTTCAAGAATTCAGTGACCTCTAAGGATTTAAGGTGATTTGGTGTTAGTAGGGATTTAAGGATTTAATGTTGTTTTACTTATCATATTTTTGTTATTGCATGTCAATCAGTGGTTTAAAAAACGGATCGGTGGATCGGGTACTCAAAAAACCCATATTGATCGGTGAATCAGCGATCTGGATCGGGAATCGATTCGATTAAGCGTTAAAAAAAATCAAAAAAATTATTAAATTTCATTATAAATGTTGTTTTTTAGGAATCTAGTAAAAAATGGGGGTACAATATTATTAACTTTCATTTTTTTCATCAATTTACGAATATTGACATGTTATTTCACTATATGAACTTATGTTAACCATTAAATTTATATCATACAAAAGAAAAATCATAGAATTATCATGGATACAGTATATAATCATACACGGACTACAATAAAGAGTGAATTAAAAGAATAAAAAAATGGCGACTAAAACATCGGAAAACTCTAATCCACTAAAAAAACCCCAAATTATTAACTATAATATTATATATTGAAATTAAAATTGTTGGTTTATATTTTTGTAATTATTTTATTATACAAATAATAACAAATCCAAAAAAATAAAAAGTTGTTGTGCTACATTTTTTTGCTTGTTGTATTGCCTTTCAATTTTTTTTATAACAAAAGTAAGAAAATGATGCTACCAAGGTACCTTTTGTTTGTTTATACTTTTTATTTTATTTTTTGACAAGAAATATTTGTTATATTACCTTTTAATACTTGTAATATTGCCTTTTGTTTTTTTGACAAGAAAATAAAAAAATATTGTATTACATTCTTTTTTTGAAAAATCTTTTATTTTTTATTTTTTTCCTTTTACTTTATTTTCTTCATTGTAGAGGACAAAAAGGGGTTTTATTTTTTTGAAAAACCCTTTTATTTTTTTATTTTTTTTCCTTGTACTTTATTTTCTTCCTTGTAGAGGAAAAGGAGTTGGATGGCGCCCAAGGGGCTCGAAGACGTCCAAGAAGATTTTTAGAGTTATAACCAACTGCACCACGCAATAATAAGGTGCTTTTAATTGCTGTATAAACTTTATAATCATTTTGCATGCCTGTGGGAATTATCCCGCATCGAAGATTTAATCTAATTTTGCATTGTATAAATGCTTTTGGCGGGCCATTAACAATTGCGTTGGTTGCTTAGCAGGATTGAGGCCCATACGCGCCTGACTTGTGGCAATAAATGTCCCCTTGAATTTTAAAAGAAAATTCAGACTTTACCCCCAACCTTTAAACGCCCGGTTCTCTCTAGACACGGGCGATTTCACACAGGGCGATTTCATGATGATGGAATCGGCGGCACCTACTTGCCTAGACACAGGCGATTTCACACGGGGCTATTTCACGATGATGGAATCGGCATCGACTCGCCTAGACATGGGCGATTTCACACGAGGCGATTTCACGAGGATGGAATCGGCACCGACACGGGCAATTTAGAGCAATTTCACGATGATGGAATCGACACTGACTCGCCTAGACACGGGCGATTTCATGATGATGGAATCGGCACCGACACAGGCGATTTAGAGCGATTTCACGATGATGGAATCGACACCAACTCGCCTAGACACGGGCGATTTAGACATGGGCGATTTCACATATTGTGATGGAATCGGTACCGACTCGTCGAGTTATCGCTACGAACCGCCCTATTCTCTCGGCGCCGACTCGGACTCTACGATGATGGAATTGGCACCGACTCGCCTAGACACGGGCAATTTCAGATATTGTGATGGAATCAGCACCAACTCGTTGAGTTATCGCTAGGAACCGCCCGGTTCTCTCAGCACCGACTCTACGATGATGGAATCGGCACCGACTCGCCTAGACACGGGTGATTTCACTTATTGTGATGGAGTCGACACCAACTCGTCGAGTTATCGCTACGAACTGCCCGGTTCTCTCGGCGCCGACTCGGACTCCAGGATGATGGAATCGGCACCGACTCGCCTAGACATGGGCGATCAAAACACGGGCGATTTCACATATTGGGATGGAATCAGCACCGACTCGTCGAGTTATCGCTACGAACTGCCCGGTTCTCTCGGCACTGACTCGGACTTGCCTAGACACAGGCAATTTCACATATTGTGATGGAATCAGCATCAACCCACCGAGTTATCGCTACAAACCACCCGGTTCTCTCGGCACTGACTCACCGAGTTATCGCTATTTTCTCTAGACACGAGCGATTTTGCATATTGTGATGGAATTGTGATGGAATCGGCATGGGGATGCCGATTCCCAAAACACTGATGTCAAGAGATTATTTTTATTTAGGAGGGACGAACTGCCTGGTTCTCTCTAGACATGAGTGATTTTGCATATTGTGATGGAATCGACATGGAGATGCCGATTCCCAAAACACTGATGTCAAGAGATTATTTTTATTTAGGTGGGATAAAATAGACAGAATTAAAAAAAAAAAGTTTTAGAAGAAAAGTTGGACAGAATAATGAATGAGTTTTTTCTTTTTCTTTTTGTTTTTTACCTGATGAGAGGAGAGGGTGAGGGAAAGTTTTTGGAAAGAAAATGGACAAAGAAAGAACATAATTGGGGTTTCGAGCATTCGATAGATTTGATTAGAGATTGTATAGATTTTGGGACTTTTTAGGGAAAAGGGTAAAATTTAGGAAATTAATTTAGATGTTTTTTGGTATTATGAACAGCTTCGAAGTTCCCCCTTTCTCTCTCTTGTCAACAATCTATACGGGTAGTGGAAATGTGAAGACTTCTTCTGTACACAACAAAAAATAAATAGTAAAAACTAATTAGGACTTTTTGGTATTTTGAACAATGAGACCATTTATTTTTGATACGAGGCTGGTCACAGTTTCTTACAATCATTTGATGTGAAATTTGATAGCTTGGATGTGTCAACAAAGTTTGAAAAATTTTCATTTGAAGTTTGAGCTTGGTCAATGGAAGAATTGTAGTCACCCAATTGCACATCCATTGGTCAAGATTAATGTGACCACCTTGTATCAAAGGTAAATGGTCTCATTTTATACTTTATCTTTTGAACAACTTCAAAGTCCTCTTTATCTCTTCGGCAACAATCTTTACTGGCGATCGGAACAAAAGAAACAGAATAAGGTGGGAAAAATGAAATGAGACAAAAATTAGGTAGAACTTTAGCCCCAAAAGGCCAAAATTTCTTTATATTATAATAAATAAGGAAAAAGTTTATATAAAGTTGCAACTTTAAAATGTAGAATTAATGTGCACCTCAAAAAATTCATCAAAAAAGATTGTTTTAATATTAAAAATTCTCATCGCGATGTCGAGATGTATGAATATAACAATAAATAAATAAATTTGAGTCTAAGAAGTAGTGCATCTTACAACACATTGTCAAGACCATCAATTTTTAATATTTTCAAATGTTTATTTGAACCTATTTTGGAGTTTAAAATGTTATAATTAGGCATGAAAATAGATTTTCAGAGAATCCTAAGAATTTTTGATACCAAAATTACATTATATTATTTATTTGCAGAGAATCCTAAGAATTTTTGACACCAAAATTACATTATATTATTATTTGGAGGTACGCCTTAATTGGATTATTTAAAGTTGCAACCTTATGCAAACCACGACCATTAAAAAAATAGTGTGGTTAACGTAGGGTGGATTTTCCAAAGATAAATGAGAAGACAAAAGAGCTTGAAAGAGTTTTTAGTTCGATATTGGAAATTTAAGGATTAGAATCCCTCCACAGAAATTGGAAATCGAAGGACTATGATACATTTCCTTGTAGGAATTGATAACGAATTATAAAAAGCACTTATGTTTTGAAGAAAACACCTATTAGAATTTGCAATGCTACGATATTTCTTATGGATAGGAGTGTCAATGGACCTGAACCTGACCCAAGTTTGGGTATGGGTCCAAAAATTGGACCCGGCGGATCGGGTCCAAAATCTTGGATCCGAACACTATTCAGGTTTCGGGTTCGGGTCCAGGTCCCACATATATTGTTGGATCTTAATTTATCAAAAATAATTAAATATATTTAAATAAATATTTTTTTAAAAAAATTTTGGGTCGACCCAGACCCGACCATTGCCACCCCCTACTGGTGGATAGACTTCATAACATTTGGGGCAAATTTAATAAACACACAAATACAAGAAATACAATACATGATTGAGGGATAGATTCATCCACGGAGATGTTGGAACGGGAATGAGAGGTGAGGGAGGGAGAGGGGAGCACCTTGACAATTCTCTAACTATGTTACGGTATATACCTTACACAAGTTGCAACAGTCATGGCAGATGGGGAAGTTCACTGCCATTTTTTCGGCTCAGACAATGCAACTATGGTGTTGGAATCCAAAGATGAGATTGATTATCCCACCAAAGGTCCATTATGGAAATACGTCAATGTGGAGGGAGTCATACGAAGGGATCTAGGGGTACCAAAAAGTTGATTTGCAATTTTAATTGTAGGGAGACACTATTTGTTGGATCTTATGCTTATGTGCGAGCTCACTTTTTGAGTCAACCTCGTGGGCAAGGCCTCACGGAATCTAAAGATGGCCTTGAAACTTGAGGAGGATTACGCTCAAAGGTTGTATAGGGGGAGTCAAATGGATCTTATGAGTTAAATTGATACATCCTTGTTCCCTTCAATAGTGCAATCAACAAGTGCCAATAGAAAAGAGAGAAAAAAATCAGCCCAAACTTCCACAATTGTTCAATATGCAAGCAAGAGATGATGTGGATGTTGCAGTTGCGTAGTTTCTTTATGCCCACACCGCCTTTGATGTTGCAGTTGGCCCTAGGTTCCATGAAATAATTTACACCATAAACAATGCACCGAAGGGCTATACAACACCCAAATATGAAAAGCTTAGGACAACTCTGCTCGACAAAGAGAAATAGATTAGATTGCTCATTGGGACCAATAAGGAATGAGCGGTCTACTTATGAAGTGTCAACTGCCTCAGGTTGGACTAACGTTAAGAATGAGTCTTTGATCAATATCATGGCCAGATTTGGAGGGGTGATTTGGTAGACATACATTATTGATCTCAGCACTTTACTTCCTCACATTAGCGAACAGTTTGAAGACAATAGAATGTATGAGACTTATTTGTGTTTTCCACCCCTTCTTTCTCTCATTGCGGCCTAAACAAAAGAAGCTCATAAAACCCTCTTTCTCTCTCTCTCTCTCAAGCTCATAAAGCTATTCTCTCAATCTCTCTCTCACATACACACACAAATTGCGAGACATGAGCCTAAACAAAAAAGGCTTATACAGCCATCTTGGGTTTCTTTCGTTCTTGAATTCATAAACCCTTCACAGACATCTTGGCCTAACACACTGGGCACTTGCATATAGCAACACAGTGCACTTCAAAAAAGTGTCATGATTAAAATGGTCCCCTAATCCTCTTCAAGAAAAGGATTTTCATGGAGGACATTTGGGCCATTCTGTGGTTCACAAAACATATGGGATGAAATGATAAAAAGAGTTCACACAAGATGCTACAAGAATGCAAACCGGACTTCTTATAATGAAAATTCCAGTTACATTCAAGAATGACGTTTTAGAAAGCTCTGAATTACTGCAACAATGAGTGAAACGAGGATCATCGAGTATGAATAGATACATAACTGACATAAGAATCAATTTACAAGTCAAGCTTTAGCATTCTCTTCTGCATAGAGGGCCTTGATTTCTTCAACATCATCATAGCTTCCTAGGAATATTGGAGAACGCTGGTGGATCTTTGTTGGATCTAGGTCGAGCGCCTGCAAGAACAGCAGAGTCTCAGTTTAGCCAAAACTATTCCCATAAACAGGTTCAACGAAAACTACTCCGTGTGTGTGTGTGCAGCGAGACGAGAGAGAGAGAGAGAGAGAGAGAGAGAGAGAGAGAGAGCATGAGTTGCAGTGATGTAAATTTAATAGCAAACTCATTTTGAGTTTGTAGCTTCATACCCTTTCCTTGCCAGTGAATGATTGTCCTCCTGCTTGCTCCATCAAGAAAGACATTGGGAAGACTTCATAAAGGACGCTGTTTCATGGCAGAAAAATAAGTCCCATAACAAACTTTTGAGTCTGAAACAGTTGATATAAAATATTTCTAGAGACTTGGGACCTCACTGGGCTGAAGTCTAGATTCTCTGATTCAGCCTTCATAAAAATTATAGCAACACAATATATTAATTAATACATACACTAGTGTGTAAAGCCAATTTGCTCATGAAAAATTTGTGAAACCAGCATATGATTGCTAATCACAGATTGACATTTGTTTAGGCCTAAATTGATCGTTGTTAAACAAGCTTAGTGGAAAAACAAATTGATTTCAACAAGGAAATAGAACCATGAAAATGAACTAAGGTCCCAAGAAACATTCCCACAGACTCAAATGCACCATTGAACAGTGTTTTATATAAAAGAAAATGCAAAAGTGCATGTATCTACAAGAAACAGCATGAAATGCTTTTATATAACATACCGTAGCTTCCCATTTGGACTCTTTTTATCTGCAGGATACAAGAAAATACCCCCATAAAGCATTGTGCGGTGCACATCAGCTACCATACTGCAAGAAAACATCAAGTTAGAGAAACTTGGTTATTCAAGTAAACAACTGAAGACTAAAACCACAATTATTTCAAGTTCTAATCTTCTTATGCATCATTCCATGGTAAAAAACTGAAGTGCACAATAGCTTCTGTGCTCAAGTACAAATATACACATAAACACACACATATATGTACACACATGCATGTTTCCGCAAGTAAGGTCATATATGTACACACATCGTCATCGTCTCATAGCTCTTTAAGGCTGAGACACAATTGAAATACTAATGTGTTTGATCAATAATTTTTTAAATTATCCCAATATGTTATTGATGTCTCTAGCTTTGGAAGAAGATTCAGGTATTAAAATGATGATCTGCATTATCTAAGAATGGACGAAACAAGGATATGGCTAAAAGTCTCCATGACGGCCTTAGCAGATAACCAACATATCAAGTCTATTGTCTTGCAAATCATTCACAATGAGGATCTTGTCTAGACAGAGGCAGGGACCCTCCAAACTAGGCATCTTGGAATGGACGAGCCTCAATTGGTGGCAAAGACATGGAAATCTGACGTAATTTGAGCATTATATTATTATTCCATGTTGTATTCCCCACAACCTGCATTTTTAAGGATGGCCACCCATATCAATTAATCTAAGTAACCATCATAAAATTCAACAGTCCATATCTTGGGTCAAGAACACATAGGTACATATTTCTGAGTAGATAAACAGACGGGGATGCATTGACACACCAGTGAATATGATACCTTGCAACAAATTTAACTAATCTCAAATAACAGTCGTCATTCAGTCCCTTATAAGCACTGAGAGTACACAAACCTTCCAATGTATCTAAGAGACTTTGGAGATGAGCTATCCTTAGGGAACTTACATTTCTCCACATACCTGGAAACCAATGTAAATTGACATTATTTTCAAACAACTAATCAACAAAAGGAAACCAAATAGTTGCTAAAACAAGTAACGTAAATTAACAAAGTGTTGCATATACTTGGTAGTTGGACCATCCCAATTCTTTGCATTGCCTTCATTCACTGAATAAATATTTCCTTTCTTTGGAATCTAGGGAATGATAAAATAGAAAGAAAAAAAATCAGCTAATTACTTCAACATACCAGATAAACAGGACAAAAAATCATGAAGAACATTTCAACCCATAAGTATATAAATCTTACTCTTTTTTATTTTCACTCATTTTCCATTTTCTATTAAATAGAATAACAGTAAAGAACAAAGCAAGAAATAAAATGAGGGGAAGAGAATCCAAAACATCTAATTCCTCCCTGTTCACTTTGACTAGGGAGTTCATATGAAATAGCAAAAAGCACGCAACAGAAGTATAACTACACAGAGCCAAGAGATTCCTGAACATCTAATCCCTCCCTAGGATACCCAAGCTGGATAAGGGAGTCGATGCCCTTGGTTTTCTGTAAACCTGTGGAAACAACAAATATCTAGAGAGTGAGAAATATGTCTTCTTTTGGCACATGGATATTGCGAAATTAGAAGCCCAGACACTCGACTCTGTTAAGGATCTCATTTTACAGTCTCCAACCACTTGAATCCCACAACTCTAATGGTATATGGCCAAACCACGTCACTTTGGAAAAAGTACCCAATAAGAAACCATACAAGCAAACCAAAAAATGTCTTCTACATTTAAATCAGCCAAAAAGTGATGTAAATAAGGGATTGAAATAGAAATTTTACTGTACAGGGAAACCCACAAAGGAATACAACAAATAAACCGCCCATAAAGCATCACAACTTTGTACCTTTATATCTGGGTGAGTCAGTATGAACTCCCCAAGAGATGGATCAAGGGTGAATCCATTCACACCACTTCCTGTGCTGAGCACAAGCTGCAATATGAACCACACACCAAACAAACTGACAAAATGATAAGTCACAGAGACTGCTGCTACAATGATGATCCAATCTAATCCAATTGATGAGAAGGAAAAAGAAACCATGCAAAAGAGAAACCATCAGGAAATTTCACATACTAACATAGAGTTACATGACATACAGGGAGAACAATAAATTCTGGAAGATGATTATTGTTTTTTTAATTTTTATTGTAACCCTAACTAATTCAGCAGAAAAAGAAAAACATTTTTCATTGTGCATGGAAATGTCAGTGTCGGATTGGAATATGTCCTCGAACATGACGTCATTAATATTATTCATTCACCAAAATGAACACTAATACACAAAAGCACGAGTGCAACTGAACTGCTTTAGTGGAGCAATAACATAACTCCCTTGGTCAATTCAAATGTCCCAAAGTATTCCTAAAGTATATCCATAATTGGGTGCTGGCAAAAATCCCTAGAAGATTCTGTGCAATAAACTGAAACAAAAGAAATATTTAAAAATACATACCGATAGGTCTTCTCATAGTTCATTATCCTGTGACTGTGTGGTGAGTTATAGTTCAATTTTCAAAGTAGTCCAAAAACAATGACTGACTGACATGCAGGTAAAGTAGCCCTTTTCTACTATATTAATAGAACATTCTGTATCGGTTTGATTTAAATGGAACTAATATGCATATCAAACTGTTTTCTCTAATTTTGCTTTTTTCAACAGTTCACTATTATTTGATTCAGTAAAAGATTTTGTGGTTATCAGATTGAGAAAACTAAGCAAGCATTGAATGGTATTGTCAAACCTTTCTTTCTGATATAATTTATGTTTTCCATGGTGATGGAGACAAAGCAATCCCACAAGCATACAACTTGCGGTTTGTAGTTGATTAATGCAAACAAGAGCCATCCAGCAATCAAGTAGCCTTTAAATTACTCAAACTCAATTGAAGACAGCTAGAAGAGACACAAGGTTAACAGTTGCCCATATAACCAAATGCAGTCGATATCATGCACCAGAAGCAGCATACGACTAGATCCAACTAGGACTCAACTCAACATAAACAGTGGGCTCCAACTCCATAGTTTCATGATTACATGTTACGAAATATAATTCAATTACTCAATCTACATCAGAAATACATATAAGGATATAATTCTTCAAAACAGAGCTTCAAAGAGGGATATATATACCGTGCAAGAGCTTCCATACATGCAATAACCAGCTGCCAGCATATTCTTCCCAGGTTGCAGGACATCGTTCAGGGATGGTTCATCTTGGTCTTTCACGGTATAGATTCCAAAGATCTGTATCAAAACAAATCCAGTGATGGTCACGAGGACCAACATTTTTTTCTTTACAAGGATCATAGAGAAACACCATATATTCACAATTTACATAAATTATCATTCACTGTGAAAACAATATAGCATTGAGGTGAAGGCCATACAGTTCCAATAGAAACACCACAATCAATGTTAGACGAACCATCGAGTGGATCAAAAACAACACAATATCTGCACTATATGCAAAAAAAATCCTTTCATCAGGATGTCTCCACACTAAATATATAATAGGAACCAGATAAATAATGGATAGCACCAGATACCTTCCACGTTTTGATGGCTCCACAAATATGGCCTCCTCATCCTCCTCAGAGACAAGAATACACTGCAAGAAGAAAGATCAAAACTCATCTAATTCTCCCATAATCAGGGGCTTGTGAAAAGCTATAAGCATCAACTAAAAGGGTGCAAAACTGACTTTAAAATATCACATTAAGAGAACATACATCTACATGTGTATGAATGTGTAAATAGGTCGCCAGAAAACTAACCGTGCGGCCACTACTGACTAGAGCCTTGACAAAAACCTCATTTGAAAGCACATCCAATTTCTTTTGCTCTTCACCCTGCATAACAGAAAGAAGTCGTAATGCTTTATTACTAATGATTGACAGTAAGAAAACAAGCACAATTTCATTCAATTAGGTATATTCATATTATTTTTATATCATAAACATATGGCCGATTATATGGTGGTCCTACAGGTCCAACTTGTACATTTGGACCAGAGGCCAAAACACCTAGCCAGGAGAATTTTTCTGACCTTTCTCAAAACATATTTGATTCATCCTAAGGTCAACTTTTGGAAAGAACACAATTGGTTTGAACTCAAAATTTCCAGGTCCTGAGATCCATCAAAGTGCACATTCCAGATTGAATCTTGGAAGGGTGGGGCATTTCTTGAACTCCAAATAAATTCTTTATAGTGCAAGAAATAAGCTTTGTGAGTTTTGGGGAAACTAATCCTCCAGACAACATAACCATTTTCCTAAAACCTTATCTATTCTCTAATAATTCAAATATTTATCAAATAGATGCAATATATAATTGTACATTTATACTCTTTTTTATCATAAAAGTATATATTCTCAACCCCATATGTAAATATTGTAACCAAATATGATAATAGTGTTTTTACCACTCAAATATTTCACTAAAGAAAAGAATTGCCAATTGAAACCAATGTAATCTGTGCATGACATTTTTCACTAAATCACATATTTTTATTGTATATTTCACTTTTTGTTCTTCCTTTTTTTTTATATAATTGTGTGCTGTCAGCATCTTGCGCTCATGCATTCTGCATCTACAATCCTCATATTAAATAGCGGCATAATGCACATCGGAGTCCATGCATGATACTGACCTCCAGAGTGCATAAGTCATTCGTGAGAATTGCTATAAGGAAATGGTATCGAGCATGAGCACCAAATATATGCAAAAAATGTCCAATTCAAAAAAAAAAAGAAATACTTGCCTGTATGTTAGTCTCTCCAGCAAGTCCTAAGAGTTTTGCAAGGCCAGCCTGTCCAAAGAAGCCAAAATCAGGCAATGCTGGAAAATTTGAAATTACTTATTTTGCACAAATGAATTCAGTCATGGTTTTCAATGTAAATTTATATACTGATAAAATATAATTTTCAACTACACAAAATCCTGCCCAAAGAATCACTAATGTTTCTTTCTCAGCACCAGATGCTGCACTTTATCAGAAATTCCTCAGAGAACTCAAGAGCATAATTACTGTATTTCCACATATTTTAAAACTAAACAGCATCTTTCCTAGTAATATTTATTTCTATTTTAAGAAATTTAATCAAATATAATTGTGGAGCATAATCTCTTCCAGTATTATGCTTTTTTGGGGGTGGTCCACCACTTCAGCTGAAGGATTTGAACTTAGGGTGTAGTGTTGGCATGTTGCAATCATCAACTAATTAAGCAATGCAGCCCAAACCTGATTCCCAAAAAACCGATTCCCTAAAAACAAGTAGGTCAGATTGTTAGGTATTTGGGGACAAACTCTGGTTCGATCACTTGACATCCCACACCCAAACTGGGATGTCGACCACCAAGCTGGAGCCTAATCTCTCCAATCCAACTCCCAATATTTCTAAACATAACTCAGATTCAAAATAGTGCTCTCTTGGTGGATATTTTTATTTGTAAACCTCAGAATGAATGGTTCTAAGTCAAAAGTAAAAACAGAGGCATCTTGTGTTTACTTTAAGAAACCAACAAAGACTTTTCATCCATATATTCCTTTCTGCATTGTTTGGTTAATTTTGCAATGCATTCCTTACAAATCTAAAAAATTCTCTCAAATAGGTCTCTTGAAACTACTGAGAAATTTTGTTAAGAACAGGAAATTAGAGGTTCATTGTCTCTTCTACATTGTCAATAAAATTAGTTTTTTCTTAAAGAAAACTTGACGATGAGAATTTCTAGAATTGAGTTAGCTTTTTCAAATTGCAAGGGTCCATTCGAATAAATAAAATCCACACCTTCTGTAGAAACGATCCAAAGAAGGTTAAAAAAAAAGAAAAGAAAATTGAAACAAAAACAATGGCCATGATAGAAAAACATAAAAATAAAAATAAAAATAAAAATACAATCACAAGTTCTCTACAAAAAAAGACTACGAAATGCCAAAAATGAACATAAAAACCAAATTTTAACTAATCTGGAGATTATTGCACACAAAAAAAAAAAGATCAATACAGTCATTATATAAGAACCATTAAATACAAAACAAAAAGCAAAACGATGCAGAATATCGATCAAATTCTTACAATGAATAAACAAATAAGAAAAGGATCGCCCAGCAACTAAGTAAAGAAATAAAAAACAAAGAGAATAGATAAATAAATGGAGAATCACAATGAATAAACAAACAAAACAAAAACAAGCACAAAGATAAATATTTCATGGAAAAGGATCACCTTATTAACAGCGCTGCACACAAATTTGCATCCAAGGACAATATGACTGAGTAAAATGGTGAAATCCCCTCTCGACTCCGGATGCTTCGACTGCTCATTCAACACGTACCTCGTGATCGTCATAAGATCAGTCCTGTGAGCTTCCACCGAGTGATCCATGGCTAAATCAGCCCTCAAATACCTCAAAATCCCAAGGAAATGCCACGAACTGGACTCCAATGATTCAGTTCCTAAAAAATGATCAAAATGACATTAATATCTTCCAAGTATATAGTTCAGAAAGATTAAAACAACTCAGACAAGGTTTAGATGAGCAGAGTTGTAACGGTTTTGGAAATTGCAGAGACCTCAATAGGACGCCATTGAAAATGAAACAGACGAGCTCAAAATCCACAAAACCACTAACGAGCTCTTAAAAGTAGGTATAAGGGATTGGTTTAAAGGTCATTGAAATTCGAAATTAGGGTTCCGGATAGGGCTATCGCTGAGCAATGGAGGGTCGGAGAGCCACGCGTCGTACGCCTGCCATCGCTGAGTCTTCGTGGTCTCTGTGAAAGATAACGCGGGTTTAGCAGGTATTTCTTCGAGGGCCACACGTGCAAAAGACGGCTTAACGCCTGTCTTTTTAGCGTTATAGCGGGCGAGATGGCGACTGCGTGGTAAATGGACGGTCTGGATGATATGTTGCATGCCAGTTGAAAATATCTGGATGGTCGGTTAGTGTTTCGAGCGTTGTGAAGAGATAGAGACGTGATGTGTCGTTGCGTGGATCGTGAGTTGATGCTGACGACGCTGGGTTTTAATGCACTTTTTGTTTGTTCCGAGGATCAGATACGGCCCCTTCCATCATTGTCGATCGTTTTACGTAAGGGCAATCGGGTCGGCGAGCTGCCTGCCAGACAAGTTGACCCAAACTGGGCTCGCGTTCGAGTCTAAGTCTTGGACCCGGTGGGACAGGTTTGGGTCCAAATTCTGATCTAAGTTTTGAATCTGGTGGGTCTAGTCTGGGTCCAAATGACCTAGACCTGACGCATTCTGGGTTGGACTTGGACTCCTTTCGGATCGCGTTGCTTATGAGTTGACCAGACCAAGCATGAAATACACATATTGCATAGTACAAAAATAAAAAAAATAAAAATTTCCTTATTTCTAAACCCGGGTCAAGTCCAGGTTGGGTCTAGACCTATGTGGGACATTATCACGTAGGGTTTGGACACTGACAAACCCGATCGTAGGCCCAACTTGTGACACCCCTAAAGCGCGTATCTCTTGCCGCGACCATGATGTTCTTTTACTTTTCGCTACGCCCATGGGATCATACTGTGCTTTTCACTCATCATGGCTAAAGCATTGGTTAGAGGTTATAAAAATGGATTTAGATACTATGAGACCATTCATTTTTGGTACAAGAAAGTTACAATTTTTTTTAGCTATTCTATATGAAGTTCAATATATAAAAGTGTGCCACAACATTAGAGAAATTTTGTTTTAAACTTTGTACTTAAACAATGGTACATCATCAACCATCTGATTTCAAATCTAATGGTAAGTGATAATTGTGACCCCTTTGTGTCAAAAGTAAATGACCCCATATTTTTTATGAAAATTAAGGATCCATGTTGGAATGATGAGATGAGTATTTTTAAGAAAAAAAATTAATTTTTTTGGGTGAATAAAAAAAATAAATTGAATTTCAATTCTTAAGTATTTAAATATGACACTTCATTGAAGAATGGTCTTTGTTTACTCTTAAGATATAATTTTTACTATGAAATTTTCTTTTTTGAGGTCAGTGCCACATCCTTACATCCCTAAGACTTGTGGTCCTAAAATTACTCCGAAGCAAGACATTACCAGAGGGATTGAATGGGCAGTATGCTCCTGGGACCATATAATCTTGTCGCCGAGAGAAAAAAGTTTATGTCCTGCTCTTGAGTTCCTGTCTACATTTGTAAAACAAAAATAGCGGCACTAGAGGAAACTATTATCCTATTGATATTGCTACAGGGTAATATCAGTCACTTGTAATGAAAATTTGCTCAAAAGAGGAAACTATTATCCTATTGATTATTTAGTGAAAATGCTAGGTTGTGTTATTATGGGTTTTTTTTTTTTGTTAGAGAAAGGTTTGCATATTTTTTTCTACAACATAGAAGATATATACTTCCTCCATCAAGCCGTCTAATTTAGACCTAGTGAGCTAATGACTGTTTGATTCATATTTGACGTTTCATAGTATTTTATTTTTAATCTTTTTATACAAATTATATGAATATGAAATTTAGTACGTATCATCATCTCAATGAGGTGCACTTAGAGAAAATATTTTTGATAACATACAATGACCAAAATATCCATGAAAATTTCAAGGGTATTTTAGTTATTTTATTAGTACTTTGTTTTAAATTTTTTTATAGGCGCAAGTTTGAGAGAGGAGTAGACGCACAAAATTTGGTGTCAACATATTTTGTAAAAAAAAAAAAAACTAGAAAAAATAGTGTGGAGACATGATATTGTGATTGGGGCTATTTCAGGCGTCTATTCAGAATGGACTGTTGGATAGGAGGAAACATATAAATTTTATGTAGTATACGAAGCATAAAAAACTTGCCTTTCTTTTTTCTTAAAATAATAGCCATTTTTTTATTTTCTTGTTGTTTCAATTTGACTGAACAGTATCATTTGAAGAGAAATTTACATATGGACCCAAAATACAAAATTATCTAAACAAAGTTTTTTGCTCCTGCTGGAGCATGTCAATTTGCTCCCTCAGGTAAAAGACGACCTTGGAATAATTTCCGGGCCCCAAATTTTGGAATGTAGCTTCTTGAACCAGCAGCAAATATCAAAAAGGAAAAAAACAAAAAACTCGCATTCTCTACATGCCTTGACAAAACGTCGCAAAATTTAACACGGACAATCCATTTTTGGAGTGCAAAAACTAACCATTTTTGGAGTGAAAAAACTAGTTCAAGAACTCAAAATCTATTTTTTCTTTTATTTTTAATAGAATCTAGTGTTTCTTAGATGGATCAAAAAATTTTGGATAAAAATCTTCCCAAATGACTCTTTTGCAGGAGGGAATTGTGGTATAGCAAACTTCCGCAAGAGCGTGCTATACAGCTTTGAAATTCTTCTTCCAGAAATTTTTTTATTCTTATTTCACTTTTAATTTAAACGACCATTTTTATTTTCATTTCAATATTAATTTGAAAGTCTAACTTTCAAATTGCCTAAAATACAAAATGTTTTGGGTTATTTGAAAGTCTAACTCTTGAACCGCTTGAAGTACACCAAAATTGAGTTTGGATAGTTTAAGAGCGCAAACGGTCCAAAACACACAAAATTGAATGTACTTAAGTGATTAGAAAGTCCAAATTTAAAACGGTTCAAAACACAAAAATTAAATGCGTTTGAGTTGTTCTTGGTGATCAATCTCACTTAATTTCTTATAGTAAAATGTCTCTTTATCTTACTTATGAGGTAGGAAGAACAGTTGTACAAATTCTACAGTTATAACTGTTTGCACAGTTCCACTGTGGAATAGTTCTTACTGTTGCAATTTGTCAGACAGTGTATCACTGTATGGCTCTGATACCACTTTCACTTGCACTTCAATTGTTCCAAGATAATCTCTCTGATAAGGATCTTTCATCCTTAAATATGGGCTCCCGAGGCAATACTCGCCGGGAAAAACAACCCATG